CATACGCACTACCATAATGTAGTAGTTGATATAAGTAATACCCTATTTGTATTAGGTGGAATCTATTTAATTACGATTCTTCAAAATATTGGTTTCAACTTTTAGATGTCAAACCTAAAAATTATATGCAACCGCAACATTAGTAATTAAAGCTGAAGTTTATTCACCCAGAGTTTAGGAGGTTGATTTTGTTGGATTATATATCGCAGCGGAAGCAATCACAATATCTTATTCACATGTGAATTAAATAATTAGCACACACGGAGATTATCCGAGTTACCTCTTGAAGCGTGAACAAAGCAAATCGATATCCTTCTCCAGTTCCACAATTGCAAGACCTCAGCAACCTTCCACAGTCTTCTACCGTGTTACCCAAATAAAATCGGAAATAGAGAACTTCGGGTGGGCGAAATTCAAGGAAGAAAAACGTGTTATTTTTCAGTGTAAAAAACGGCCAGCTATATACCATGTATATATAGCTACGTTTTTTAGGTTAAAAACCCTTTTTCCAAAACCTGTTAGGTTTTCTTCTTACTAAGTTCCTTAATTTCCTATTATTTAGGCACAGTAGGGGCCACAAAATTTAATTAACAAGGCTTCCTATTATGGAATTAATTTCGAAATTTTGAAATTAATTTCTACCATAATAAATTACGAATTATTCCACTAAAAATTCGTAATTGCACTCCTTAGTTCAATTTTGAAATTCTTCCATAAAACCTTATTTAACTCCCCATGTTAAGATTCAGATACTAACCAATCAAATTAAATTACTGACAATTTAATTTATTGATTACTTCCTTTAGACTTTCACTTAACTTATTTCATGTGTCGGATACAAAATCCACCGGCCGGGTTTACACATGAAAACTTATAAGCTTTCATAAAGGAGTATCATCAATCTTAAAAAAAACCGAGACATGGATTCTATCAACTAATTATTACTTCGCCAATGTATATCATTATTGTCCAACTTACCAGGCTTATTGACCCACGAAAGAATCTCGCCTTTTAATAAATCAAAACAATAAATGATATACACAACTAACAATAATTATATCAAGAATAAGAGTATAAATACATTGAATGGACTAGAGAAATTATTTTATAAAGTTAGTTTTAACAATGTAATCTAAGTGATTTTATCTCCTTTCTCAAAGTTAAATAAGTATTATTTTTTAGTGACTATTTAGAAAACAGAAGGGTGAACACCATTCAACTAGAGAGTCTACTTTAATCATCACTAAATATAGATGTTACTAGTGGGGTGTTGCCAGTGCTAAGCACGGGCCCAATAGTTGTTTAATGTTAATGTTTTTTGCAATTGTTTCTAATAGTAACCTAAATTGTCCAAGCAAAACGCCATGCTCCTTTGTATGGTGATATTTTCTTCATTCTACATGTATTATCAATTTTCAATGTTGCAAAACATTTCTCGCAATTAATATCTTAAGCTTCACATGAACTGCAATGGTTAGACATAACAATGATGGGGTGAAAATCTTAACTTAGAAGAACAAAAGATGAAAGTTATGAATAGAAAGTAAAATCCTTTATTTGCAATTGTTCGCAATGTATTATGACAGTACGATGCTAAAATGGTGATCTTGGCCAATCCATTCCAATGATACAAAGGAGTTTACAAGATGGAGAATTGAACCTTTACTAACAAGGCGAAAGTTCTGATAGTCAACAAATTAAGCTACTAAGATCCCCCAACACTTTACTATTAGTTAATAGACCTTAAACAATAAAGTGTTGAGACCTTAAATTTCTAATACGTTAGATTAAAGCCTCATTACTTGCTTCTTTTTCCTTCTCGAAGGATCGTGTTTGACAATATAATTTGAGCATCAGACCCAAAATCTTAAAAGGTATAAGTGAAATGAGAAAAGTATATTCTTAAACATCTTCCCCCACATGTAATCGTGTTAAGGGAATGCGAAGTAGCAAAAAATATTATGAACTTTTTTGAAATTCTAATACAATCAATGAGAGACCAATGTATTCTTTAACGCCTTCCTGCACACGTAATGTTACGCGGCGCCTTCCTGAGATTCCTTGGAAGGGCGACGTAAGGCTAGGCAACTGATGTCAGTGCAGTTGCTGTCCGCCAACTGAGGTCCCCTCCGTACGCTAGACGAGATTGTCAGTGCCGTACGGGAAAACCAATGTCAAGAGCAATTGAGAGAACAGAAATGAGAATTCAGAATGAAAGAAAGCTTGATTGCATTAATGAAAGCTATTACAGAAAAGCAACGCGGTGTCGAGGGGGAGAGACACCAGTACAGAGAATTGCTTGCTTTCTAGAAAGTTTTGATTGCTTGATCCCCCCTAATAGTACTTAAAAAAAATAATCCAAAGTTACAGGAGTAGACTTAATTAAGCTAGAGAAACATAATGGAAGTACATGAAATAAAACTACTCTATATTTACAATGAAATGACTTAGTCTTCTATAAGGCAGCAGCAGTGTCTTTGGCATCACGGTCTGCGCGCGCGGCGCTGTTGGCTTCTGCCTGCGGCTTGGCGCTCGCGAGGGATATCGGTGGGGCGACAGAGGCACCTGCGCGCTTGTCACTTGGCGCGGCCAAGACCACGGGGCCGTCCGTGGCGCTAGGCATTGGGAGGTTCGCTAGGACGCCACGGGGCGCGCCCAAGGGGTCATGGGGCATGGCTGGAAAGCCGCCCATGACATTCTCCCCCACCTGAGTTGGCGACGTCCTCGGCGCCTTACTTGCAAAATAATCTTCAATGAGGCTCTTGTAGGCTTTGAGGTTTGTTCCCCTCTCCCAAGTATTCTCTTCTGCATCACAGCCCTGCCATTTCACCAAAAACTCTTGGTGATCTTTCCTTGAGGCATGAATCACTCTGTCATCAAGGATAGCTTCAACACGCCTTTTTCCGGTTGAATTGGGACCTCGAATACTGGGTATTGTGAGCTGGCTCCTTGAAGGATCCTCCGTGTCTTCCCGAAAAGGTTTCAGGAGACTGACATGGAAGACAGGATGAATTTTCCACCAAGCTGGGGTATCCACCCGGTATGCAACCTTCCCAATACGCTTTTCAATGGACAAGGGTCCAATGTATTTTTGCAATAGGCGAGGGTCATGGACCCCTGCAAATAAGTACCGCTTTGGAATTTTGACCATCACTTTGTCTCCTACTTGATATTCAACAAAGCGACGATTCTGATCAGCATGCCTCTTCATCCGCTTTTGGGCTTTGACAAGATAGCTCCGCACTATCTCCAAATTCCGCCTCCACTCTTTTGAGAAGCTGGCAGCTCGAGGAGATTTAGCCATGTTTGGTGCATTCACAGTGTGTGGGAGTAGCGGTTGCTGTCCGGTAACAATTTCAAAAGCGCTTTTGTTGGTACTAGAGCTCTTTTGTGAATTGAAACACAGTTGAGCAGCATCCAGAAGCTTCACCCAATTCTTCTGCGATCCGGTTACAAAGTGGCGGAGGTATTCCTCCAACATACCATTGAACCGCTCCGTCTGGCCATCAGATTGCGGATGAAAACTTGAGCTGTGACTCAATTTTGACCCAAGGCACTTGAAGAGTTGGGTCCAAAAGTTGCTAGTGAAGCGTGAGTCNAAAGGTACTGGCTTTGAAGGAACTAAGTTCAGAACGTAATTCGCTGTTTCTAATGCATGTCCCCAAAAGGATGAAGGCAAATCGGAATAACTCATCATTGATCTAACCATTTCCATACGAGTCCTATTTCTTCTTTCAGCTACACCATTTTGTTGTGGAGTTCCAGGCGCAGATAATTGAGATGTAATTCCACATTCTGATAAATAACCAATGAAATCCGCAGAGAGGTACTCCCCACCACGATCCGATCGTAGTGTCTTGATATATTTATTATGTCGCTTTTCAGTCTCAATCTTAAATTCTTTGAACTTTTCAAAACATTCAGACTTTCGACGCAACAAATAAATATACCCATATTCTGAGTAATCATTTGTGAAAGTCACAAAATACTCAAAACCACCTCTTGCTTGGACATTCATTGGACCACGCATATCAGAATGAATTAACTCTAATTTATCACTTGCTCGATTTCCTTTTGAGGGGAAATTTCGTTTTGTCATTTTTCCTTCTAAACAAGATTCACAAGTTGGTAGTGCCTCCACTTTCAATGAACTTAAAGGTCCATCCTTGACCAACCTTGAAATTCTGTTTAGATTTATATGACCCAAACGCAAGTGCCATAAATATGTTTCACTCAATTCAGAAGAACGTTTTCTCTTACTTGGTAAATCAACATAATTCAGTTCTTTAGGTTGTAACGGTTTAGGAATAGAGTCAATAACAAAAAGACCATTAATCAATGTAGCCGAAGAGAGATAACGTTTATCATGAGTAATAACACATTTATCAATATCATGAAAATTAATGTCATAACCATCTCTCATAACTCTAGAAACTGAAATTAAATTCCTTCTAACGGAAGGTACATATAATGTGTCTCTTAAAGCTAAAACTCTACCACTACCAAATGAAATACTAATGTTTCCTATTGCTAATGCTGGGGTTGATGAACCATCTGCTTGATAAACATTGATTTCTCCTCTACTTAGCCGCCGCGTTACCTGAAACCCCTGCAAATAAGTGCAGACATGATTAGTGGCTCCCGAATCTACACACCATGACATGGTAGAAACAACCGCTAAAAGGATTTCAACGACAAGTAGATGTAAATCACCTGGTTTATTTTTTAGCTTGGCCAGATAAGTCGGACACTGCTTCTTATGATGCCCACGCTACTTGCAGTGATAACACTTGCCCTTAGACTTTTTCACACCAGCACTTGCGCCACCAACAGAGGATTTTTGAGTCTTTTTTTCTTCTGACCGCCTTTCGGCTTAGAAGCAGAACCTGCCTCAAAATTCAATGCTATAGGAGGAGCTGGTTGCTTGATAATAGTCTCTGCCGACTTCAGCTCATTCAGCAGTTTCGCAAGTGACAAATCCATTTTGTTCATGTTATAATTCAGGCGAAATTGCTGAAACTGTCAGGCAGAGTCTGCAGGATCATTTCAACCTGCGTATCCTTATCAATGTTAGCTCCAAGGAACTCCAGTTCATTCAGAAGACTCATCATCTTCAGAACATGGTCCCTAACCGATGAACCTTCAACCATTTTGGTATTTAGAAGAGCTTTCATGGTAATCTGCTTAGCCGTACGATTCTGATCTCCAAACATTTCTTTGAGATTTTCCAGAATGTCATAAGCAGACTCCATTGACTGATGTTAATGTTGCAGAACATTTGACATAGCTGCTAGAATGTAACAATGCGCCATCTCATCAGCCTTGACCCATTTCTGGTAAGCCTTTTGTTCAATCATTCGTAGCATCATCTCCAGGTTTTTCTGGACACACCTCATCGAGCACAAATTTGTACTCTTCGGCAATTAGGACAATTTCCAAGTTTCGTTTCCAATCAACATAATTCAGACCCTCAAGTTTGTTTTGCGTAAGAATAGCAGTAAGAGTATTGAAAGCGGTCATTGTTAATCTGGGAGACAATTTCATTAAATAGATCAAAATCAGTCATGCTTATTTGAATATTAAAATTCAAAACACACTACATATATATAATCTATGCACCTTGAACAACAAATTTTGATGGAAAAAAAGCTATTCTTGCAATATGCATATATAATGACAGATTATTCACTCCATGAATTTAGACAGGCCATACTCAGAGGAGAGTAAACTGTTAATTTAAGTCAAGTGAATATCAACATTCAATTTATATATACTAGTTCCATTGAACCAACATGCAAACTCAGATGGAGAGTGAATACAAGTAATCAACAACTAGTATAACCTAGTGATTATCCATAATGAGTTTATCCGATATGGAAGAAGACCTACGTCAACGTGTACAAATATTATATCACTAGAATTTAACCCCGGAGTCTATAGGAAACGATCCCTACCACCACTAGATTAAAAACAACAAAAAAAAATTTGAAAAATTTGCAGAAAATTAAAAAAAATGTCCAAAACACCATCTAAACGGCCCCGAAAGCCCAAAAATGGCTTACATCATGAGCAAAGCTCATGTGTATTGCTCACTGAGCCGTTTCGCATGGACCTGCCAAGTTTCAGGTCAATCGGAGTCCGTCAATATTTTGTCCTCCGATTTTCTGGCCAATTCGGCCAAATAATGACTTTTGCGTTTTGCATGGAATAATGTAATTTTCAGATTATTCTAATCAAATATCATAAACTATAAGCAGATATTACATGATTTTCAGAATAATCATAATACTCAGATCAAATATTCATGTTAAGAACAATGCAGTTTTGCAGAATTCAAAACCAATCTTTGCATGTAATTCAAAACTTGCATATTAACATGATACTAATCTTATTGTTCATCCTAATTATTTAATAAGACGTGAGTAGGATCTGATACCAATTGTTGGATTATATATCGCAGCGAAAGCAATCACAGTATCTTATTCACGTGTGAATTAAATAATTAGCACACACGGAGATTATACGAGTTACCTCTTGAAGCGTGAACAAAGCAAATCGATATCCTTCTCCAGTTCCACAATTGCAAGACCTCAGCAACCTTCCACAGTCTTCTACTGTGTTACCCAAATAAAACCGAAAATAGAGAACTTCGGCTGGGCGAAATTCAAGAAAGAAAAACGTGTTGTTTTTCAGTGTAAAAAACGGCCAGCTATACCATGTATATAGCTACGTTTTTTAGGTTAAAAACCCTTTTCCAAAACCTGTTAGGTTTTCTTCTTCCACTAAGGAAAGGTTTCCTTTATTTCCTATTATTTAGGCACAATAGAGACCGCAGAATTTAATTAACAAGGCTTCCTATTATGAAATTAATTTCGAAATTTTGAAATTAATTTCTACCATAATAAATTACGAATTATTCCACTAAAAATTCGTAATTGCACTCTTTAGTTCAATTTCGAAATTCTTCCATAAACCTTATTTAACTCCCCATGTTAAGATTCAGATACTAACCAATCAAATTAAATTACTGATAATTTAATATATTAATTACTTCCTTTAGACTTTCACTTAACTTATTTCATGTGTCGGATACAAAATCCACCGGTCGGGTTTACACATGAAAACTTATAAGCTTTCATAAAGGAGTATCATCAATCTAAAAAAAACCGAGACATGGATTCTATCAACTAATTATTACTTCGCCAATGTATATCATTATTGTCCAACTTACGAGGCTTATTGACCCACGAAAGAATCTCGCCTTTTAATAAATCAAAACAATAAATGATATACACAACTAATAATAATTATATCAAGATTAAGAGTATAAGTGTACATTGAATGGACTAGAGAAATTATTTTATTAAGTCAGTATAAAATACCTATCTCTACTTGATCCGTTCAATACATACAAAATGTACTAGCACAAGAAGTTGGAATTAAACCATTCCCATAATCAAGATAAATTATATGTACTCTTGTGCTACAACCATTCCGATGGCTTGTCCAATTCCACCATTGGATTGTGAACATAAACTTTATGACTTATAAGAACCGATGATTTAATCTTCCGTGTATAAGCTAGACTCTATACACTAAATCATCCACTATATAAGCAGTGGACACACAAGCAAATACATGATCTATTTAAAATAAAACTTTATTGAATTGAATAAATACATAAACAATTGTTCCATAAAGAATATTATAACAATACGCATGGTTTATGTTTGACTCAAAAGTTGTTAAACACTTTTTAAGCAAATCAATCAAAAGAAATGAACAGATAAATCCTAGTTAAGAATAATTAACTCTAGATCCGAGATGAATAATACGAATTAAAAGACATAGTCGAATATAAATGTTGATGGCGATTATGACTAGATTTAATGGCATAAAGAAAGATGCATTAAATAACAAAAATATGAATAAAGAAAAAGGTTCACCCGATCTTTGGTGGGACGGATCTTCTTTCTTTTTATAAAGATGAATGATAGACAAATACAAGAACCTCACGACCCTTTTTGGATCTGATGAAGGTATTGGATCACATATTCTCTCATTTCTTTGGAGAGGTGTGTTTACATATTTTCTAGAAAGAGGGAGAGGGAGAGAGAGATCCCCCCCCTCCTTTTAGGAAGTCCTCCCCTCCTATTTATAAGGGGGGATATTCATAGAAAATCCTAAAAAAAAGGTACAATTTACAGGGAATATTCGGTAGAATATTCCTTTTGATTTTTCCAAAGCAAACTAGATGTTTGATGACGGTCCGATCTTGGCATGTCCGACCACGACCATTGATGACGGTCCGACCTTGGCATGTCTGACCACGACCATTGATGACAGTCCGACCTTGGCATGTCCGACCACGACCATTGATGACGGTCCGACCTTGGCATGTCTGACCACGACCATTGATGACGGTCCGACCTTGGCATGTCCGACCACGTCCATTGATGACGGTCCGACCTTGGCCTGTCCGACCACGTCCACGACCACGACCTCGTGACGAATTTCTCTGATCTAATTTTGGCCCATACAGTTTATAGTATATTCTAACAGATTTTGCTACGGTGTGAATTATCAACATAATATGAATTAACTTATTAAAGTTTTAACAAATATTAAAGTTTAAACATATAATTTTAGAAGTAATACCATGCCATATGGACTTTCTTTTATATAATATAGAGGTGATACCAATAAACTGCAATCCTGAGGGACGTGCACGTAACTATGGAAAGGGCACTTCTGTAAAATCAGCATCGAGTCACTTGAACTACCGGTGTGAATTCGATCAAATGCAGGGGGTGTTTTGGTCATTAGATCAGCCGCTTCACGGCTATAATTGAAATCGAGAAAAACTGGGGTCGTGGGTGGCTGCGAGAGCGGATATTCGCATACACCATAAGCATAATTCCTTACGTGCAGTGTGCATATTCTCTGATTATTCTCCAGCTTGGACGGCCCCACACGTTCCTACGTGGCAAATCTGGTAATGTGGGAAGTGGCTGACATGTGGCATTTCTCTTGGCCAGCATTTTTTTACCATCTTCTACAATAATAAAATATTAGAAACGCGTGTGCAGGGCATATTTGACTCTATGGTAATAACGGTTGTCTAATCAAGCAAAATTGCATTTTTTTAATTGCACCAATAGCATAACACGGTAGGTAATCTGACATCAGAATCGGTGGAAAAAAATTCAGGATTTTTCCTACAAATAAGTTGCGTAACTTGTTTGAGATGGTATTAGTGTCCTCAATAATTTATGTACAATAATTTAAAATAAAAATGATAGATCTATTTATCCATAAAACGGTACAGTTGAATTTGTAACGTGGGTATAGACAAGCAAATCGATTTGATTTAAAAATGATAAAGAAATAGAACAAAAGATAAGATTAACGACTGAAATGAAAGAAGAGAACGAGTCTGGCTCCGAACTCGGTCTTTCCGAGAGCAGAAATGAGAGCAATGATAAAGCGATGATAAATATATTAGACTGAGCGTAAAATAATGAAGAACAATTGTGTGTGCAGAATGTTTCATGTCTCATACAAGAGTTGTCAATATGATATTTATAGCTATCTTGAGGGAGGCAAGATCCTTATACGGTGAAAATCGGGGCTACAAGATTTCATCCTTTGGTCAAGATAGGAAGGTCACGTCGAAGAGCTACAATGCCGATGTCGACCTCGATTGCAGATCGGAGAGAGGCAGACTTCGAGTGACATCGGCGTAGCTCGATAATGGAAAAGGCGAGATATCCGCAGTTGATCTAGAATCGTGGCGTAAATTTCGGAACAGATTGATCTTCGGCGGTTAATCAGTTGTCAAATATGATTTCCTACTAAATTAGATGTGTACCTTATTTCGGACCCCTCTATTATATAAAAAGGGATCCGATTCATTTGTAAGCATTATTATTCACTGATAAGAATATATACATTCATTACTTTCTTGCTATTTCGCTTATTGTTCATCAGAGTTGCTTTATCATTTGCTATTCTTATTATCACACCTCGAGGCTATCACAAGTCGAGGTCAAAATTTGGCTAGCATATTGGTTTGATCTAATTTATTCTCTAATTTATCTATTTAATTCCTTGTTTATCAATTGGTATTGGATTAAATCACATATCCTTAAAACCACAATATAAGTTTACTCGAATTTTAGGGTAAACAGTTTGGCGCCCACCGTGGGGCTAAGGATAATAGTGATTGTTCGGTGCTGATTCTGATAACACACATTATTTCATGTTTGTTCCTGTCAAGTATTCTTTGCTCTCATGTTAAAACATGTCAAACTCACAAAACGCACCCATACATGGTGATGATGGTCTCGGTTTTCACGGGAAAAATGATAATGTAATTTCCCTAGGAGCCGGGTACCATCGGCTAATCTCGGGAGAGCACCGGTTGCCCATCCAGTCAATTTCAGTTCGCATGTTGCTCTATATGCGGACCTAGGCACGAAACCCGAAGGGAGTATACGCAGGGAAGGCCAATCTGGTGG